GCTGATGATGGTGATGATGCTGCTGCTGCTACTGATGATGATGCTGATGATGATGATGCTGTTGATGATGGTAATGCCAATGCAGATGCTGATTCTGATGATGCTGATGACGATGCTGATGACGACGATGATGGCGACTGATGGCGACGATGATGACGATGATGATGGTGATGATAGTGATGCTGATACTGCTGCTGATGCTGATGATGATGATGATTATGATGGTGCTGCTGATGATGCTGATGATGCTGATGCTGATGCTGATGATGCTGATGATGATGCTGATGCTGATGATGATGATGCTGCTGATGATGATGACGATGATGGTGCTGCTGCTGATGATGCTGATGATGATGTCGGTGATGATGTGGATGTTGATGCTGATAATCATGATGATGCTGCTGATGATTATGATGGTACTGATGATGATGCTGGTGATATGCTGATGATGATGCTGCTGCTGATGCTGTCGATGATTATGCTGATGTTGATGATGATGCCGATGATGCTGATGATGATGCTGCTGATGATACTCAGGCTGATGCTGGTGAAGGTGATGATGCTGCTGCAACTGATGGTGATGATGATGATGCTGCTGCTAATGATGATGATGATGATGATGATGACGATGATGATGATTATGACGATGATGATGACGATGATGGTGATGATGATGCTAATGGTGATGATGATGCTGATGGTGATGATGCTGACGAAGATGCTGATGCTGATGATGGTGATACTGATGATGTTGATCACGTTGATGATGAATATGATGATAATGATGATGATGCTGCTGCTGATGATGATGATGATGATGATGCTGATGATAGTGATGCTGTTGCCGATGCTGATGCTAATGCTGCTGATGATGATGGTCATTATGATGATGATGATGCTGATGATGCTGTTGCTGATGATGCTGATGATGATGATGATGCCGATGTTGCTGGTGATGCTACTGATGGTGATGACGCTGATGCTGATGATGCTGATGATGCTGCTGATGATGATGCTGATGCTGATGCTGATGCTGATGATGATACTGCTGATGATGTTGGTAATGATGCTGATGCTAATGATGATGATGGTGACGATGCTGATGGTGATCATGCTGGTAATGATGATGACGCTGATGCTGATTATGATGATGCCGATGCTGATAATGATGATGATGTTGATGATGACGATGTCGATGATGACGCTGCTGATGATAATGATGATGATGCTGATGATACTGATTTTGATGATCATGATGAATTTGATGATGATGATGCTGCTGCAGCTGACGATGCTGATGCTGCTGCCGAGGATGATGCTTCTGATGATGATGCTGTAGCTGATGATGATGCTTATGCTGATGATGCTGATGCTGATGGTGCTGCTGATGATGATGATGGTGCTGCTGATGCTAATGATGATGCTGATGACGATGCCGATGATGATGCTGCTGTTGATGATGCTGCTGATGATGTTGATGATGCTGATGATGTTGATGCTGATGATAATGATGCTGATGGTAAAGGTGATGATGCTGATGATGATACTTATGATGCTGATGATGATGGTGCTGCTGATGATGATGATGACGATGACGACGATGATGATTCTGATGCTGATGATGCTGATGATGATGATGGTGATGATAATGCTGATGATGATGATACTGATGGTGGTGCTGATACTGATGCTGATGTCTATGATGATGCTGATTGTGGTGATGTTGCTGCTGATGCCGATGATGATGATGACTACGATGCTGCTGATGATGATGATGATGATAATAGTGATGATCGTGATGCTGATGCTGATGATGATTCTAATGATGATGATGATGATGATGATGATGATGATCATGATGATGATGATGATGATGATGATGATGATGATGAAGAAGATGATGATGATGATGATGATGATGATGATGTTTGTGATGATGATGATGATGATGATGATGATGATGATGATGATGATGCTGGTGGTGCAACTGATGTTGACTTGGTGCTGATGATTATTCTGCTGCTGCTAATGATGATGACGCTGCTTCTGATGATGACGATGCTGATGATGATGATGCTGATGATGATGATGATGATGATGATGATGATGATGATGCTGACGCAGATGGTGATGCTGATGATGCTGATGATGATGATGATGCTGATGCTGATGATGGTGATGATGCTGATGATGCTAGTGATGATGCTGCTGATGCTGATGCTGATGCTAATGCTGATGATGCTGCTGATGCTGATCATTCTGATGCAGATGGTGATGCTGATACTGATGACGATGTCGGTGAAGATGCTGGTGACGATGCTGATGATAATGACGATGATGATGCTGCTGATGATGCTGATGATGCTGATGATGTTGATGATGATGCTGATGATGATGCTGATGATAATGATGCTGATGATAATGAGGATGATGATGGTGATGACGATGATTATGCTGATAATGATGATGCTGATGATGATGCTGGATCTGCTGATGATGATCACGACGATGACGACCATGATAATGGTTTTGATGATGATGATGATGGTGATGATGCTGATGATGATGATGCTGATGATATGGTGCTGATGCTGCTGATGATGTTGATGATTCTGATGATGATGATAATGATGATGATGATGATGATGATGATGATGATGATGCTGCAGCTGATGCTGATGATGATGACGATGATGATCATGGTGAGGAAAAGCTGATGCTCATGATGATGATGCTACTGATAATGATGATGCTAATGATGATGCTGCTGCTGCAGCTGATGGTGATGCTGACGATGGTGATGATGACGCTGCTGCTGCTAATGTTGATGAAGCTGCTGACGATGATGATGCTGATGATGATGATGCTGATGCAGATGATGATGCTGATGATGCTGATGCTGATTGCGATGATGGCGATGATGATGATGATGATGATGATGATAATGACGATGGTGATGATGATGATGATGCTGATAGTGATGCTGATCATGCTGATGATGATGATGATGATGCTGATGCTGATGCTGATGCTGCTGCTGATGATGCTGATGATGCCATGATGATGCTGATGCTGATGCTGATGATGCTGATGCTGATGATGGTGATGATGTTGATGCTGAGGATGATGCTGATGATGATGCTAATGATGATGACCATGATGATGACGATACTGATGACGGTGATGAGACTGCTGATGAGGATGATGATGCTGATGATGATGATGATGCTTATGCTGATGTTGATGATGACGATGATGATGATGGCGATGATGATGATGATTATGATGATGATGCTGATGATGATGCTGATGATGATGATGATGAGGAGGAGGAGGAGGAGGATGGTGGTGATGGTGATGATAATGCTGATGATGATGATGCTGATGATGTTGATGATGATGATGCTGCAGCTGATGCTGATGATGATGACGATGATGATCATGGTGAGGAACAGCTGATGCTCATGATGATGATGCTACTGATAATGATGATGATGCTAATGATGATGCTGCTGCAACTGATGGTGATGCTGACAATGGTGATGATGATGCTGCTGCTGCTAATGATGATGAAGCTGCTGACGATGATGATGCTGATGATGATGGTGCTGATGCAGATGATGATGCTGATGATGCTGATGATGCTGATGCTGATGGCGATGATGGCGATGATGGCGATGATGATGATGATGGTGATGATGATGATGATGACGATGACGATGTTGATGATGATAATGATGCTGATAGTGATGCTGATCATGCTGATGATGATGATGATGATGGTGGTGCTGATGGTGCTGCTGATGATGATGCTGATGATGCTGATGATGACATGATGATGATGCTGATGCTGATGCTGATGATGCTGATGAGGAGGATGGTGATGATGTTGATGATGATGATGATGATGATGCTAATGATGATGACCATGATGATGACGATTCTGATGGCGGTGATGAGGCTGCTGATGAGGATGATGATGCTGATGATGATGATGCTTAAGCTGATGTTGATGATGACGATGATGATGATCATGATACTGATGATGATGGCGATGATGAGGATGATGATGATGATGATGATGATGATGATGATGATGTTGCTGATGATGATGCTGATGATGATGATGCTGATGATGATGATGAGGATGATGATGGTGGTGATGGTGATGATAATGCTGCTGATGATGATGATGTTGATGATGATGATGATAATAATAATGATAATAATAATGATAATGATGATGATGATGATGATGATGATGATGATGATGATGATGATGATGATGATGATGATGAGATGATGATGATGATGATGATGATGATGATGATGATGATGATGATGATGATGATGATGATGATGATGATGATGATGATGATGATGATGATGATGATGATGATGATGATGATGATGATGATGATGATATGATGATGATGATGATGATGATGATGATGATGATGATGATGATGATGATGATGATGATGATGATGATGATGATGATGATGATGATGATGATGATGATGATGATGATGATGATGATGATGATGATGATGATGATGATGATGATGATGATGATGATGATGATGATGATGATGATGATGATGATGATGATGATGATGATGATGATGATGATGATGATGATGATGATGATGATGATGATGATGATGATGATGATGATGATGATGATGATGATGATGATGATGATGATGATGATGATGATGATGATGATGATGATGATGATGATGATGATGATGATGATGATGCTGCTGCTGCTGCTGCTGCTGCTGATGATGATGATGATGATGATGATGATGCTCCAGCCTGTGGGGGGGGGGGCTGTGAGCCAACCCTTCCCGAATGCATCCGCCTCGCTCGCTCGCCTGGGCTTGGGCCTTCCATGGGGGCGCCTCGGCGCTGGCGTCAGGTCCTCGTCCTCCTCCTCCTCCTCCTCCTCTTCCTCCTCGAGCGAGTCTGGGACTCGACGTCCGCGCGTGGGCCAGGTCGACGGGAGAGAGGAGCTCGTGAAGTACTGGCACCGTTACATGGAGTGCACCGCGCTCGCCGCGGTCTGCTCCGCCGGCGCCTCTTTCGTTCCGTTTCCCTTCCTCTTCTTGTGTATCAGCTTCTTTTTCTTTCTCTCTTTGTCTCTCTCTCTGTGTCTATCTCGCTCTCTCTCTCTCTCTCTCCTTCTGTCTCGCTCTCTCTCTCTTTCTCTCGGGGGAGCGCGTCTGCTCCGCTGCAATCACATCAAGGCGTTTTGGAGATCGCTCCTCCTCCTCCTCCTCCTCGTTTGGCGCGCTAGGGGGGAGGAGGGAGGAGGAGGAGGGGGCAAACGAGGAGGGCGAAGGAGGATGGAGGACGGAGGGCGGAGGAGGAGGAGGAGGACCTTTTCGCTGATGGCCTCCCTGAATCCGAGATCAGACCCACCTCGGATGATGAGAATGATGAGAATGATGAGGATGATGAGGAGGAGGACGAGGAGGAGGAGGAGGAGCCAGTGAAGGAGGAGTAGGAGGAGGAGGACGAGGAGGAGGTGTTGGATCATAGCCCTCCATGTTTCTGAGCATTCAGTCGTATTTGTTATAGGTTTTCATGCCCGCCATCCAGCGGCAAAGCAGATTACACTATCGCACCCTCGTTTGCTTACCAGGAAGAGATAGCGCTCTCCCCACCTGTATCGTCCTGTCCATCTTGCATGGTAGCAACACGAGGTCATTGAGGAATGGGCCCCGCACGCGTGTAACATGCCGTGCCATCTGACGGGGAGGGCACCGCGGCTCTCTTTGTCAAGTGCACGCTTGCCTGGCACAGTGCTCTTCGGCACAGGCGCGCCCGCAGCACCGTTGATCTCGCGCCGCCGCGTTGTGCTGCAGTTTGTATGCGGCTTGCTTTTCTCGAGGCCGCCGTTCTTCTCGTGATCTGTGAACGTTGCCTGCACCGCTTTTCGAAGCCACGCCGCCGCTCACGCCTATCGACTGGCCACCGTACTGCTCCCTCCAGCGAATTACCAACGCCCCCTAACGCCCATGCGGTCAAACGTTGGGCCAAGGTCTGGCCAAGGTGTTGGACTATGTGTTCCCCCAAGTCTTTCTGGAAACCTCCGGGACAGTTTTTTTGGAGAGGAAGAATAACGAGGATATTGAGGACAATGAGGACGTGGACCAGGAGCAGGAGGAGGAGGTGGAGGAGGTAGAAGAGGAGGCGCCTTGAGATCCTTCAGAGGCCTCCTCGGGGCTTCCTGGGAGCCTCTTGTGGGCCTCCTAGAGCTTCTTGGGGGCGTTTTGGGGCCCTGTTGGGGCCCTCTTGGGGGGCCTTTTGGGGACGTCTGCGGGACCTCTTGGGCTTCGGAGGCCGTGTTGGGGCCCGCTCTGGGCAGTCGTGAGTCCCTCTTTGGGCGCTCGAGGGCTGTCTTGGATGTCTACGGGGCCGACTTGGGAGCCTCTTGAGCCGTCTTGGGACCCTCTTGGGCCGTGTTGCAGGTAACGGAAAGAGCGAGGCACGAGTGATGACGTTCTGGTGTGGGCGAAGCCCTAAAGGGAGGGGATCCAGGGGAAGGGGGTAGCGTGCGCACCTGTGTGTTAATGGCCGTTTTCGGGTTTCCCCTCGGGTTTTTGCATGTTTTTCGGATTCCCCCCCAAGACGGCCCAAGAGCGCTCCAAGAGAGCCCAAGACCGCCCAAGACGGCCCAAGAGGCCCCCAAGAGGCCCCCAAGAGGCGCCCAAGGGGCGTCCCAAGAGGGCCCCAAGAGGCCGAAATCAATGATTTTCCAAAGGAGAACGTATATTTTTAGCACATGCGCTTTGTCGGCTTTCACGGCGTTGACGACGGCCCAAGAGGCCCCCAAGACCGCCCCAAGACGGCCCAAGAGGCTCCCAAGAGGCCCCCAAAACGGCCCAAGAGGGCCCCAAGACGGCCCAAGAGGCGCTCAAGACGGCCCAAGGGGGCGCCAAGACTGCCCCAAGAGGGGGACCACGAACCGAAAAGTCTAGCCTTTCGCCCCAAGACGCTCCCAGGAGGCCCCCAGAGTCCCCCAAGAAGCCCCAAGCGGCCCCCAAGAGGCGTCCCAAGAGGCCACCGGGAGATGGGGAAAGGTATTTTTTTAGCATGCCAGGCTTTTCGGCTTTCACTGCGTTGAAGACGCTCCAAGAGTCCCCCAAGACCGCCCCAAGACGGCCCAAGAGGCTCCCAAGAGGCCCCCAAAACGGCCCAAGAGGGCGCCAAGACGGCCCAAGATGCGCTCAAGACGGCCCAAGGGGGCGCCAAGACGGCCCCAAGAGGGGGACCACGAACCGAAAAGTCTAGGCTTTCGCCCCAAGAAGCTCCCAGGAGGCCCCCAGAGCCCCCCAAGAAGCCCCAAGAGGCCCCCAAGAGGTTCCCAAGAGGCCTCCAAAAGGGCCCGACAAGGGCCCCAATAGGACTCCCAAGAAGGCCCAGAGACGCCAAATAGAGAGCGATCGGTCACGCAAAAAGCTCTTCACACCAAGGCTCCCAAGAGCGAACGGTGACGTAAACAAGCTGATAAGACCAAGGCTCCCAGCAGAGAGCGGTGACGTAACAAGTTCCTGGCACCAAGGCCCAGCCAAGGCTCAGGAACGGGCGGCAACGCAACAATCTCTGAACACCAAGGCTCCCAAGAGCGAGGGGTGACGTAACAAGCTCTCAACGCCAAGGCTCCCAGTACGAACGGTGGTGTGAGTAATTTCGGTTTTTGTTTCTGAAGCGCTCTTTCCGTTTCTGTGCCGGGCCAGGTCTATTGGGCCGTCTTGGGGCGGTTTTGGGGGCCGATGGGGCCGTCTTGGAGCGTTGGAAGCTCGAAATGGCGAGAACGCTAAGATCATTGAAGCGCCTCAGTAGCATACATGATTTTGGCTTGGTCCTGTGCAGTCGTGGGTCTGTGTTTGGGCGCTTGAGGGCCGTCCGAGAGGTCTATGGGGCCGTTTTGTAGCCGTTTTTTGGGGCTTTGGGGCCGTCTCATGGCAATCTTGGGGGCTTATAGCGCCGTCTTGGAGGCGAAAACGCCAAGATCGCTGAAACACCTAAGGGGCATACATGGTTTTGGCCTCCTGGGGCGTCTTGGGGGCTTCTTAGGCCATCTGAAGGATGTCTTGGGCCGTCCATCTTGGCGGTTATCTTGGGCCATCTTTGCCATCTTGGAGGCATCTTTGAGGCCATCTTGGCCGTCTTGGAGGCCGTTGTTGGTGTTGATGGCAACAGGCTGCACGATGCCTAGATGCCCTCGCGCGCAGCGCGAGAAAGTCGTAAAAGGTGTGGAAGAGACCGCCCTAGAGCCGCCTCGTGGCAACCCCAGGGCGGAATCCTCTTTACAGAGACAGGCAGGGCAACTGGCAATCGAGGAGGAGACAGCCAGCCGCCGCACATATCCTGCCCCACGTCAGGGAACAGGGGTATCAAACCCTCTCAAATCAAAAGCACCATCACAAGTGAATACAAGTGAAAAGACATGTATGGGTGCGCTTCGGCACCAGCTGGAATTAAACTATACAAACCGGATTCGGGCGAGCACCCCAGAGAAGAGGACGACGACAACCCAAACACCCCGCAACACGGGACCCCTCCCTTCACAGCCGCACCGCCTGCGCGAGCCGCCTCGGCAGACAGCAACGGTGGGGTTCAATACCGCCTTATGCCCAGGCTCCCCCCCCCGAAGGGAGAGCCAGCAACCAGGCGGCAGAACACGCGCACCATGCCATGAGCCGATTAGGGGCGCAGGCGGGAGGCGCGAAGCGTCAAGGAGCCCTGTGCGCAAAGGAGCCCGGCACGTCGCGCGGCCCCTCCCCCAGAGGCCCGGGATCCCAAACCCAGAGTCTCAGCGGCTAGCCCTCCTCTGGCCGCCGGTGACAAGGCAAAGCCCCCGTCCATGCACGCCCCCGCCCCACAGTGGAGGCAAGGGCCGTCTCCGGATGCCGCAGAACGGCTCTGTAGACGCCGCGCAGCGCACGGCCCCGGCCCTCCGGATGGGCGTAGGGGGGTAGGGCACTGGCGTGCCTGCCCACGGCGACTCAGCTTGCGCCGAGCGCCGCACGTCCCAGCTGCCCAGGACGTCCCGTCTTGGAGGCCGTCTCGGGGCCGTCTTGCGCTGGAAGACCGATGGGATGCGCAATTCTGGCGGCCTCAAGGTGGCCGGCGGGCTGGGCCGACACCTCACTGAGAGCTTTTCCAGGGACCGAAGCAACATCGCGTCAAGCCACACCCTGCGACAAGCCACGGGGCGGCGGCTCTGTTTTGGCCTTTGGCCCGTCCTGCTCTCGTGCCCAGATGGTAGGTCAGCTGCCTCTTGGGGCCTCTTCGGCCTGTTCCGGGGCGTCCGTGGCTCTGAGGAACCAGGAAGGCCCGGAGAGCGCCAGGGAACCCCGGGAGGCACGTTGGGAACCCCAGAAATGTGAGAATTTGGGGTGCAGCCCGTTACATCTCTCTTGGGGACTGAGGGCTGCAAGGGGATTGAAGGCATTCCAGCTCGTGCCTCGCGGCAGCTTTTCCCGCGCTCGAGGACTATGGAGACGGCCAAGGTACCGATTATGTTTTCGTGGACCATCCTAGTATAGAGCGCCAGGCCACCTCCTTCTGAGCAGCAGGGAGGGTGTGCGTGCATGCGAGCAGGAAGTTTTGGGGGTTAGTCGTGTCAGGCGACCAGGGAGAGGCCATTCATTATTTGGTGGTGTTGCCATATTGGATGGGAAGACGTGGTCATCCGTAAGGATCAGGGCATGGCACGCGTAGATTGGTGGCGCAAGCCGTGAAGAGGATGAGAATAAGGAGGATGAGGACAAGTCAGACGATGTACTCCAGCCTGTTGAGCAAGCGTGGGTAGGTTGGTGGATCGCGGGGGATTGGTGGGAAGTGGCTTTTCTGCGTGGCGCGTGGTGGGATTGTACCGCGTTGGAAGTGGCTTTGGCGCGCGTGTGGAGATGTGACCAACTGTCGGGAGGCGGGGGCGGTATGGAGGGAGAGATTTATAGCACCGTGTGGAGTAAGATGGGGAAGGATAATCGATGGGGTGACAACGCTGTTTGCCGTATCGTTGCGGGTGGCGATGCGGCCAACGTGGCGCGAGTTCGCATATTCGCCTGCAGGCTCGAAGCTACACATGACGCGCGTGGTAATCATTGCTCTGTGTGTGTGTGTGTGTCTTGTTTGTGTCGGATGCGCATTTGAGGGCAACTGCAAGTCATGGGCGGGCTGCGTGGGCGCGCCTCCCGAGAAAGAGACCGCAGGGCGGTCTCTACAACGGCGACGACGGGCGGGAGTACTCGGACCGCCGGGCGCCCTCTGCCGCGACGAGTCGCTCCGTTAGGCAGCAGCATTGGAGCCCAGGACTGCCTTTAAGTCGGGCCTCTCCCTCTACAGGAGGAATCTTCAAAAATGTAAAGATAGCCTGGGGACGATTTTTCGAGTATTTTTTGACCATTTTGGGGTGTTTTTGGGATACTTTCCGTTTTTCGTCCAAAATCCGCCTGTAGGGGGACATGCTTGACCTAATTGTGCGGGTACCTTGCTGGCTGGGCACGCGGTGCACGCGCTCCGGCACACCGCTTTTTACGTCGGCGGCTAGGCAGCGGGCGGATAGGGCGTCGGTAGGGTAAACGAACGCGAGTTAGGCCGCGTTGCACGAGAGGGGAGGAGCAGGACGCCCTGCGGGGGCGGGAGGGAGACGGAGGCCGGGCCCGCTCAGATGCTCCGCTCCGGCACACACGTACTCCAGCACGCACGTTCAAGAACTTCACGCTCCGAACGTGCTCCGCTCCCTTGCCGTGCGCTTCTGCTGCCCCCTTCGCTTGCTGTGCCCACTTCGGCCCCGCTGCATCCTATGAGGGCGGCCAAGAGGGGGGTGAGGGCTATAGGGGGGGGGTGGATATCATGGCGGGGGGCCATGGTATCTCTCCAGATTTCATGGCGCCTCTTCTTGTTTCAACACGTCCCTGGCCCCCCCCCCCTGGGCCGCGCACATGCCGCCAGCCATGATTTGCACCCCCCCCTCTTGGACGCCCCCGTCGTGGCCGCCCCCGAATCGAACGGCTGCCCCCGAACGCGGTGAGGACTCTCCGCTGCGACATTTTTTGTTTGTTGGCTTGGGTCACTGGAACCCGAGGGCGGAGGTCTGTTCGACGATTGCGCTTCACAGAGGATCTCCAAGGGGCACCCAGGATTGCAATCGATGCTTTGGGATTAGATGAACCTTAGTTTCGACGAGGCCTCGACGTTGCCCAGTTCCTGCCACGGATCTTTCCCCTGGCGTTCCTCGTGCTTCTGGGTGCTTTTGAGGCCCGAAACGTGTTCCGTTTCTTATTCAGGGTTGCTTGTGACACGGCGCTGATTGTAAATTCCCTTATGCACCCGCACCAACGAGACACACCATTTTTGACCTGCCGTTGCAGCCACACCACTAGCGTGGCAAAGAGGACCATCATGTCGGGTTTCCCAGCATGGACGAGATCGCCCGATCGACCTTACTGACGCGGCCTGTCGAGAGTGAGCATCACCACCTTCTGTCCGAATTCAGCCTTCGGCGAGTCTTCTACGGATAGGCCCGCAAGCATAGTTAATTGATGTCCTTCGCACGTATGGGACCAGGCGCTGCCAGA